CCTCCATGTAGATGTGGTTCCATTGAGGACCACTCGCTGAGTACGGCCGGTCAGCCAGCTACAGATCCATCTGGTGGTGATGCTGTCTACCCCACATTTTTCTATCTTGTCAAGTAGTAGGTTGTGATGTACTTTATCAAATGCCTTACTGAAGTCCAAGTAAATTATATCCACAGCATTCCTCTCATCCACTAATTTTATTTCACAGACTTTTGAAATGATGCTGGGGTAGGTGACACCTGAATTTTCTGACCCTTATCTCTCTCACCCATGTATGTATGGAACCTTAAAGATCCCTATTCAAGATAAGTACACAGAATAGGCCAATTTTACATGCTGAAGGCTGTATTGGAGGGAAGATGTATGCAGTTTATGTTCTTCCACTCTCCAATACAGGGACTGAATGCATAAGATATCCAGCATATGGTGATGATTGGCTAGTGCCAAAATGAATTAAAATTAGACTGGAACTATGGAATCAACATTTGAAGCACTTTTTCATGTATTATTAATAAATCCAGAGTTTTATTTCTATATTCTGAGAAGTCTGGGAAATTCAGAATCTGAATATAGTTGGAAAGATCTTAAGACCACTGGAAACAAATTGTTATAAAATATTATAACATTTTCTTTTGTCAGAAATGTATAGGTTTTGGATAGATCACGTAAGAAAGTTTTTTGGGGATCACTTATGTTGTAAAAACCATCAAGTTGCTTACATACAATTACTTTAATCTAGCAGAGATTTTTTTCAACAACCAAAAGTTAAACACTGTTTTAAGATTTCAAATGTTTGCAAGATATTCAAGGCCTCTTTTATACTTTTTGTATCAAGTAATAGACTAACCAGTATCCATTATATCCCTCAACATTAATTAAAAACTATTCAGCAGATCAGCCAGGTCCCTTTCTAGAGAATCAAACAATAAGCGTTCAGAAGCTGGAAGAAAATGACTTTTATCTCATGTCCTACCTCTTATTAAGCACAACCAGAGTCTTGCTTTCTACAAAATCTAAAACAGAATTTGCTTTAATTATATTGTGAAAATAAATTCTTTCCTGAAAATATTATGAAAACTCATTAAATATTTAACAATCAAAGTGAAAGGTGAAGAGAGGTTTAGAAATAGAATTATGCCTACCCAATTTAAATTCCTTTGTTCAAATGATCCAGTGAATAATATCTATATGCTGGAGATTTGTGTGTTGTCAGTTGTTGTTAGTGCCAGCTCCAAATGAAAACAATAGATTATTAGCCAATCCTTCTTTTAAAAGATGCAATGAGAACAAGTGCAAACCCCATGGGGAAGTAAATGTAGGTGAAAGG